CTGGCGCGGCTTTCAGGCTGGCGAAGCGTGAGTTGCTTTTTGCTGCCTTCAAGCCCCTCTTTTTAGCCTCTCCGGGAAGGGGCAGAAGGCAGGTCTCGGTGCCTGCTGGTGGATCAGTGGTTTCGGGCTCAGGGCGTTTGCTGGCCGGGCGGTGTTTTCCAAGTCACGTTCACCCGACCCAAACGCCAGTGAGAAGTGTTCATCTTTGGAAATGCGGACTTCTGTCTGGTTTGGGCATGAGGAAGAAATTCTTCACCCAGAGGAGGGTGGTGGAGCACGTGGAATAGGCTCCCCAGAGGAGGCAGTGGTGGCACCGAGCCTGGCAGTGCTCAATAAACACTTGGACAACGCCCTCAGGGACACGGTGTGAACTTTGGGGTTGTCTTCTTCTGGGGCAGGAGTTGGGCTTGGTGATCCAGGCTGTCCGAGGGAGGTGGTTGAGCCTGGAGACATCTAAGAAGACAAGATGTGGTGCCAGGGGACAGGGTTTAGTGGTGGCCACGGCAGAGTTAGGGTAGTGGCTGGACTCAATGATCTTGAAGGTCTTATCCAACCAGGACGGTCACAGGATCACAGAATCCTAGGGGTTGGAAGGGACCTCGGAAGATCATCCAGTCCAACCCCCCTGCCAGAGCAGGGTCACCTAGAGCACATCACACAGGAACATGTCCAGGGGGGGTTTGAATGTCTCCAGAGAAGGAGACTCCACAGCCTCCCTGGGCAGCCTGTTCCAGTGCTCTGTCACTCTCACAGGAAAGGTTTTTCTGATGTTTACGTGGAACCTCCTATGTTCCAGTTTGCACCCATTGCCCCTTCTCCTATCACTGGACATCACTGAAAAGAGCCTGGCTCTGTCCTCCTGACACTCACCCTTTACATATGTGTAAACATTGATGAGGTCGCCCCTCAGTCTCCTCTTCTCCAAGCTAAAGAGACCCAGCTCCCTCAGCCTTTCCTCATAAGGGAGATGTTCCACTCCCTTAATCATCTTTGTGGCTCTGCGCTGGGCTCAGTACTGTGATACTGTCTGTCTCAGGTCTTTGCAGGCAATTTCAGTCAATGAGGAAACTCCAGCCACATTTAAGTAATGTGTATGCACATTTTTGACATCTCAGCAAGGCTCAAGTGGAAGGTGAAAGAACTTCACTACAATTTGATATGCTATATTTTTATGAGGGCTTGTTTCCAGAGTTTGTTCAAAGAACCAGCCGTTCCAAGAACTGCCACCAAAAAGCTCAATCAGTCAACCACTGGTTGCTAAATATTAAATTCCAACACAGCTATACTTTTAGACAAGACAAACTATGGATTCTGAGCCTACACAGGAACAGCACCTCCCATTCAGGGCTGAGCAGAGGTGGTTTTGAAACCTGCACCTCTTTGTTAAGGATGGCTACATGTTTGCAGGGTAATGCAAATGGCTGTTCTGTGTTTCCTTCTGCACCTTCACAACTAGCCCTCTGTATCTGAAAACAACGTTGCACGTAAACATGCTTTTTACTGCTTATCAATACAACCTCCTACTTGAAATGAGCAGCACAAACTTTGAAGCAAGCAAGGCTCACTCCAAGGCAGATGGAAGAGAGGGCAGCTGCATTTATATCCAAGTCATGAAACCTTTTCACACGCAGAGCGTTCCCCGAACTCACTCCTTAGCACCTTGACTCCCTCAACACCTCTCACTTCATGTACTTCTCCAGACATAGGAAGCATTTCTGCTTTGCAAAGACAGGTTTTCATTAAGGTGTGTTTTTTTAACACAACAGGAGCTGCCATTTTTATCTATTTCACTGATGTGGGGAACAGTCCCTCTTCTTCCCCACTATATAAGACTAAACAACAAATGCCTTTCAAGTCAGCAAAACAGGAGTGATGCCTTTTCACTGATTCACTCAAGGACAGAATGAGCAGGCCTCTTGCCCTACCAGATAAGTGCAGAGCAAAAAAGCAGCACAAGGGTCATAATAAGTGGCAGAAAAATAGACAATAGGTTAAAAACTGCCTCTAACAGAATATGTGCCTGGCCAATGGTTATTGGCTAATTCAGACCGTGGTGCTTCCTGGAACAATGGTCTCTGATCCATAAGAAGAGAGTAGGATCTGCTCTCTGCTGCTCTCTGCTTGCTCTCTCTGCCTGCCTGGGACAAGACCCCGCTACAGCACCTGAACCTGCCTCAGCGCCACTGCTGCTGCTCGGAGAAACGGAGGGGGGGGGCGCCGGCTGTGGCCGCCGCCGGGGGAC